CTTACCAAACGCTGTTCTAAAAGCTCATGTCATAATATACTGTGATCTAGGACACAAACTTTTAAATGTAACATTTGAAATTTGACGCCTCCTCTGGGCTTAATGGATTTTATAATTGTCAGAGCCTCAGACTGTAATTATAAAGCTTTCTCTCTGCTGGCTCGGTATATCTGTCTTTTTGATTGAATTTTCTCTCTCAACCCTCCTGTTCAGGGGCTGTTCCCAGGTGGGGATAATGCGAGCTCTCTGTGAGGCCGGCATCCCAGTGGACCTTATTGGTGGCACGTCTATCGGTTCCCTGATGGGGGCACTGTACGCCGAGGACCGGAGCCACAGCCGCATGAGGATGAGGGCCAAAGAATGGGCGATGGTGAGAGCCAATGCAGCGTTGACACTAGTCTTGTAATAAACCCAAATGTTAAAAGCTGTTTATATTTTGATCGGTTTTATATCAATTAGGCGGTTAAAATTTGATCCCACTTATCATCGAAAGAGCAATTGAAGTCCCTTTTCCATACTGGTATTTATTAGACGGGATACAATCGAGGTGACTGTTTCCCCTGTTGAATTTACTTGAACATGAACTTTGAGCATCTGCTGACTGCAGAGCTTGGAGAGACGACCTATTTGTAATTACGTCTTGAATTAAGCCAAGTAATTGTGACAAATGCATGATTTTAGTGGGATTGTTTGTCGACATATTCAGTTTTGTGGAAAAGAAGCAGAGTTCAACAGCGGCGACTCCTGTTTGTAGAGGAATATTGTTCAAGCCATTTCAATTCTCTGCTTGTCCTTGTGAAGGTGACTGTTTCTAAAAGCATTTTCTGTTTTTTGTTAATGCAGTTTAGACCTCCGTTTTACCTTTTGATAAAATGAACCACGCTGTGCTGATTAACCATTGAAAGTAATGGATTGGTGTTGCACACACAGCCCTGAATGGTTTCCACATTTAGCTCATGGACCCAGTGACCATCTATGCCGGCTGATTTGAGACACCTGCTCAGTCTCCAGGTCTGCAGGCTGAACATGTGGTATCAGTCGTCTTCCCACAGTGTATCCGGCCCCTCCTCCTCTGGCTCTGTCCTTGGTTCTGAATCATCTCTCTAGACGCAGCTGGCTGTTTGGCTGCTTCTTGGTATCAAACTAAAATAACCACTGTTGTAATACAGAAGTTTGTCCTTAGCACAGTCAGAACAAGACAGTTGGCTCTGTTGAAATCTTGGTGCCTTTATCGTTTTTACGAAGAAGAACCTTCTTATACACTACAGACAAAAAAAATTATCACAATCCAGAAGATTCTTTTGAGAAGAAATTAAACTTTATTTTTCATTAGTTCTGCTTTGTAATGAAGACAACTTCTTGTTGTGTGGAGACTCGAAGCCATTTTACCTTTTTATTTTCTCCTTCTTTCCTGCAGGAAATGACATCCGTGTTTAAGAAGGTTCTTGATTTGACGTACCCGATCACCTCCATGTTCTCCGGTGCTGCCTTCAACTCCGGCATTAGCAATGTCTTCAAGAGCAAACAGATTGAGGTGAGTTCCCAAAGAACTATAGAGGAAGGCGACACAGAGATGACAGTGAATTGGTGTCGGCTGATTTAAGATGGAGATGGTGCAGGATGAGCAAATGCATCATGTGAACTTATTCTATTTATCTGTTTGGATATGCAGGACCTTCGGATCCCGTATTTCAATATTACAACTGACATCACTTCCTCTACCATGAGAGTACACACTGATGGTAAGTACAGTGTTTGTGTTTCTTTAAAAAAAACATGTTTGCTTAAAGTGTCAAATGACAAAACGGAGTATTGTCTGGTCACGGTAGTCGATACTTTCCGTTTTATCTGCCTCTGAGATTTCTGCCCTCGTTGGTGAACTGACCCTTTAATTAGTGTCAGTTCAGGTTGGTTGCTTTCAATTAAATACACGGTGCTAAATAGGCATACAACTTGAAAGAGTTGCCCTTTCTTGCTGTTTGAGGTTCTCTGTGGCGGTATGTTCGTGCCAGCATGTCTCTGTCTGGGTATCTGCCTCCTCTCTGCGACCCCAAAGATGGACACCTGCTGATGGACGGAGGCTACATCAACAACCTGCCTGGTGTGTTACGCTCGGTCTTTTTTCAGTTTCACGTCATACCTCCCTTGGCGTCGTTTCTCTCACAGCCTTGACCATGTCGTTGCTATTTTAACACTCGTGTAGGATTGATTATTTCTGTCTCTCTTTCTCCTGTCCCGCCATTGTTTCCGTTTCCTCCTCTTCTCCCAGCTGACGTGGCACGCTCCATGGGGGCCAAAGTGGTGATAGCTATTGACGTGGGCAGCCGGGATGAAACCAACCTCACTAACTACGGCGACTCGCTCTCAGGCTGGTGGCTGCTATGGAAACGCTTCAACCCCCTCGCCGAGAAAGTAAAGGTAATGGATTTATTAAAAATAAAGACGCAGACAACAGACTGCGCAAGGATACGTTGTAAAACTAAATGTGTCTTATGAATAATGAGGATATTTTTGTTGGTGGTACAAATGTTAATTTCTTCACTTACGGTCTCAGGTGTTGGACATGGCAGAGATCCAGACTCGGCTGGCCTACGTGTGTTGCGTTCGGCAGCTGGAGTCTGTGAAGAGCAGCGACTACTGCGAGTACATCAGACCTCCGATCGACCGATACGGAACACTGGAGTTCGGCAAGTTTGATGAGATTGCTGTAAGTTTGAGTAGTAAAAAGGTGTATCTTTTTAACGATTTTGCAGTATGAAAAAGTAAAAGTGATATGTGAGCGTTTGGTGTAATGTAGGAGGTGGGATACCAGCACGGAAAGACTGTGTTTGACGTGTGGATTCGCAGTGGAGTGGTGGACAAAATGTTGAAAGACCGACACCAGGAGGAGTTCCACAACACCCGAAGCAAGAACAATGTAAGGATGGAGGGAGGGAAAGACATGAAGGAATGCTGTAGAATATGATGAGAGAGCCATCGGGCACAGTTCAATGCAGAGCAGCTACAGAATGTAACTATGTAACTGACAGGAGACGTTTCTAACTAAAATATCTTGAATTCATGGTTTAATCAAAGCTATTTAAAAATGTGTAACTACCAGGTTGTCTCGAATGCAATCAAACTGATTGGATCACGAACACATTATCTCAGTAACTGTTCTGCAGTTATCTGTGCAAAAATAAAGCAAGCATTCACATCCTATCTGTATTCTCATTTGCAGTCCATGAATGTGTATCATCATCATCATGGGTATACTATATTTTCTGTCATGTTTTTCTCATTTCTACAATATATTGCCATTTTCAGCTGTATTCTGTCGTCAACAGGCTCATGTTAGGCCTCGGGCTACGCTGCTGTTAAAGTAATAACATTAAAACTGTGCATCAGTCTACTCTTAAAGTACAGGGGGGAACAGATTTTCTGTAGAACTGATTTGTCCCGCAGCAATGGCAAAGTAAGACAAAGGACCAACTTAACAAGGACGGAGACAGAATGATGAAGACAGATGAGATATTTACCCCCAACCTGAACAACAACAACAACAACATAAGGAGGACAAAGACCAAAAAAAAGCAGGGTTGATGTTGAGATGTCCGGTTCATTTGTTAGTTTCTTGGTTGAGGTGTAATTGTGAAGTTACGGATGGAGCTAAAGTCATGGATGCAGTTTTGAAACTATTGCTTAAAACTGACTTATATTAACAAAGTCTTAAATGGCAAAAGAAAACATGTAATCATTACTTTCGCCGTTTCCATTCGTTATCTTTTACCAACAGATTAAACGAGACCCAGTGCGTGACTGTTTGTTGGCTCGGTCTATTTTAGTTTGACTTTAATGTGTATGAATGTGTTTGTGTCTTTCAGGTGGTGTCATGTCCCAATGCTTCCTTTACTGACCTGGCAGAAATTGTGTCCCGCATCGAGCCCGTGAAACCTGCTCTGGTGGATGGTAAAACTACTCTCACACTCAGCCACACATACCCATGATCACTTTTTTAAATGTGTGCACACAGTGTCTGGGATAATGCATGTTACCGTTTCCCCTGCACGTCTGCCTTTCCTGTGCTCCCTCTTATTTATTTTTAGATTAATTTTCTTTTCCTATGTAGAAATGCCCATTTGTATATAAATAGTTGTTTCGAAATCAGTCGGCTGTCACGATGGCTCATTTCGAGGTGTATTTATGTCAACATCCCATTTTTTGGTAATTTTGGGGTTTTGATTGCTTGCTATTAAACAGTGTTGTTGCCTGTAAAGGCATGATGACAAGCTTGCAGCGAACGGGTCTACTGCACTCTGATCCTATAAGCGGCACCAAACTCCCTCCTCCCGCTACATCTACCTGAAATTCTGAATATTAACAAAGGCTGGCTCCAGGACAGTAGGGTTTCGTCTGAACTAATATCGCTAAATTCAGATGATAAATAAAATGTTTAAGTTGGCAGAAGCATGGAGCAACGTCACAGCGGAAGCATTATAATGAGCTTAATGTGTCGTGTGTACATACACACACACGTTTGTTTTTTTTTTTTTACATTGACTTTTTGCCGACATAATTTAGTATGACAAAGTCATAGTATACCTTTTATATGACACTGTACCATGACGTTTTGTTTTTTTTCGACTATACTATGACTTTTTTTTCCAACGTGCTATACTATAAGGGTCTTAAAAGGAAATGAATTTAACCTCGGCATTTCTTTGCTATAACATGGAAACAATTTCCACATTTAAATCTTACTTAGAAACCATCTTTAAGTAATACAGCAACCAAAGGTCTTTCTCAGATATTTCCATCCATTGTCTTCACTTGTCACACTGCCCTGTTTGACTTCCAACTATATTTCAAATGATTGCTTTTCTGAACTATACACCTGCACGCCCTCCGCCATTGTCGCCTCTTCTACACACCACGTACTCCAACTTATTTACCCACAATGTGCTGCTTTGCTTCCTGTTTTCCGCTCCTTCCCTTCATCAGAGGAGTCAGACTACCACACAGACTATGAAGAGGAGGCGTTGGAGAGCGCTCTGTCTGACATGGAGGCATACAATCACTACGGAGAGCACACTGAAGGGGAGGAGACTGCTGACACGGTGTGAACCACTGCTTTTAAGGGCCGACACTATGGGGTTTCTCTTTTGTTGACTAAAATGCAATAGCTGTAAAGTGCTGTAGTTGTGTAGAGCAAAAAAAAAAGCAAGATATGCTAAAATTAAACATAACTCATTTTTACTATTATTTGATACAAAAACCTTTTGTTAAATCTAGACTTTGGGAAAGTCAAAAATGTTCTGTTGGTCATTATAAAGAAGGAGAATAAAGGTTATTCTGGGGCCAGGCCAATTCGTGCTTCAAAATGTGATCAATAATAACATAAAACATATCCTGAAATTAATTTGAAGACACTGAAAGGCCACCTAATATAATGACTTTGAGTCTTGGCCTAATCTTCTGAGTTTCAACTCAGTTAAGCCTTGAATAATGTTTTTTAAATCTGACAAAAAAAAGAAATTATTGCGTATTCCAGTCCAGACAAGATGCATCTCCACTGGAATCTCTGCTAAACGGACAACACAGCTGTACTTACCAGTTAAACCCAAATAGTGCTGTCTAAAAAAAATAAAAATAAATAAAACATATCTTCACCAAAGACAGGGGGACCCAATTTAGGCTGTGAGGATTATGACACAATGGAGAAAAATGTCAGTGGTTGACCTAATTATAAGACATTATAATAAGAGATAATTGGTTAGAATAAACTGGAGGTGTCTGGCCCGTGCCTCTAGAGAAATGCCTTTAACTGGACAGTTTAGAGTAGGTTACCTCTACAATCAGGGAAGATTAACAGATTCAAATTTGAGATGGTCAAAGGTTCAGGTTAGGTTAATTACTTCTACTCGCCACAAAGAATAGGTAACAAATTCCTTTAAAATTTCAAGCAATGAGGCAGATGATGCTTTATTAAAAAAAGCAAAGGTAACCAAATGCCATTACCAATATCCAGCTGATGCATTGGACAAGGCCCATGTATCAGAGTAGCCATGTTATATAATAGTGACTCATTCAGTGGAATGTATTATGGATTTCTAATTACTTGCTCTTGAGAATTTGATTAAACGTGTAGAATATTATTCAAATGAAATTCAAGCTCTTCATCTCTTCACTGATGCATAACTTTACTTCTGATTCTCAGGACGAAGAGCTGCTGGAAGGGAGACGTCTTCACCGCATTACCTCACTCTCCAGTAGCCATCCCCAGACTCCCACCATCTCTGACAGTCCATCAAACCAGGAAGTCCTCTCCAAACCGCCCATTAAGTGAAGACAAGTCTCATGAACTTTGGCCAATCGGGTCATCGCAATTTAATGTTCCTGCCCCCCCCAGTCTTCTGCCCCTGAGACTGTCGGAATGACTGCATTTACCACTTCGCCGTCTGTAACCCGGCCTCGTTAGCTGTGTGGCCGACACAACAAATGGCAATACAGGCAGCTAGTGTCACATTTCCTCAGCTGCATATCCAAGAGCAGCTGCAAATCTAATCATTTCTCATATTGACAGTTTCTGTGATTTGCATCTTATGAAACTGCCATTAAGATCAGATGCATACTTAATATATTCAAAAAAAAAACCTGAAAAACGACTTTTCATATTTAAGCCAAGAATGTATACAAGCTAAGCCCTAGATGATTTTATGCACAAGCCACACCAGCTGGACAATCACTCCAATAATGAAATGCAAAAATACACTAAAATAGTTATATAGCCTTGTTGAACATGCCTCTGTCACTTTACCAATTTTAGAGTTAACCGCATTCACAACTAGGGCTGCAACTAACGATTACTGTGATCTTTATTTATCTTTTGGTCTGTATTATGTCAGAAGATGGTGAAAAATTGATCAAAATTTTTCCGAGAGCCCAAGGTGATATCTTTAAATTGTTTTTGTCTAACCAACCGCAGAAAATACCCAAAGATATTTAGTTTACTCAAAGTAATTCCAGGCAACAAAGCCTCTCATCTGAGAAACATCAAATGTTTGGCATTTTTGCTTCATAAATGGCTTATTAATTGGTAATCATAGTTTGTTGATTGACTAATTGTTTCAGCCCTAATCGCTTAATTACCAGAGCCCTAGCAAGACTGCATAACAAACATTTTTGATGAGGATTCCGTTATATTGTTTCTGAAAGAATTGTGATCAAATTATTTTTTTGAAAAACGTTGTCTGGCCGACAAATTATGTATTGGGGGGGATTGTACTGCAATTTCTTCTTACTCAGCGGCCAACGCACGTTGAAATACAAATATAGCTGCAAGAAGTTAATATCAGTCGGCCGATTTATCCATCGTGCTCTAATCATAAGAATATCGATGCAAATTTTGGATTTAATTTTCTTCCCGCTTGATCTAGCACCCTGTGAGCCTCACCATATGAAGCTGTGATCTCAGCTAATACTGGTGCTACAGTACAGCAGCCTTACATGTGTAGACGGTAGAGAGACCCTGTGATGCACAATATGGGGATCCCATATGGTGTTGGTTAAATGGAGTCTGGAGACAGAATGTGAGCGCAGAGCGGATGTTAGCTGACCAATGAAGTAATGGTGTTTGCACTGGTGTTTTGTCGTACTTTTGGGTGGTTTCCAAAAACCAAGCACAATGAATTGATGTTGTCTGGCAGAATGAATGCTTTGCTACTTTATTAAATGCTGATGTAATGTGTGGAACTGTGCCATAAAGTTAATGTTACAAAGCCTTAGATGACCCGTACGGGGAAAAAAACACTCGTGCCCTCATTTAGCATTAGTGTACAATGATGAATGTTTACCACTAAGCCTGTACTGTATGACATCTTGTCTATACTTGTGTTATTTGATAACTTTTTTGATAATCAATTGTTACTAAGAAACTGTTTGTTGTTTTATTCTGTGTCTTTCATTTTTCAATTTGCCACCTGGCAAGCTTGTACTTTGCTGTAAAAAAGAAACCATTAATTAATATGGTAAAAAAAATTTCAATCACATCAAAATGCCTTGCAGAGCCCTGACAGATAAGTGACACGTTTTAGCAGAGATAACAGATTAAATGCATCATTTAAAGAAAATGTAATCAGGTAGTGGTGCTGCTGGGAGCTCAATTCATACAGATCCATTGTATAGTATGTCATAGGGCAGTAGTATAGTATGTTAGAAAAAGTCAGAATGTCATAGTACATCAGAAATAGCTATACTTGAAGTTGAAAACAATATCAGCCACGCGCTGTCGTGGCGGGTAGACCATGGATGGATGCAACCAGTAGGATGAGTAACTGTAGGATTTTCAGAATCGGAGATACAGACTGGATGAGTGCTAAAGAAAACTGAGATTATCATGAATAAATCAAGAGCTATCACACTGGCAGGCTTGTTTGACTGACACACACACTTAATCCCAATTTATTGACGTGTCCTATAATGAGCTTTTTCAATCCCCACCCTCCCTGGGGAACTTAGACTTGCATCAGCTAATTAATGAGAATGCAGGGGGGGGGGGGGATTCAGGTCACAAGAAGGGAGAAGAGAACGAGGAGGGAATAAGTGGCACTAGCCTCGATCAATGCATCACAGGGAAGAAAGCAAAGAGCCAAAACAATAGGGTGAATGAGTACAAGCTCCCAGGATATTAGTCTTTTGACAGAAAGGTAAGGTTGACATTGTACAAGGGGGGGCCACGTTGCTGGCGGACAATGACCCCACACTGGACTGAATTGCTGCGACAGGCAGCAAGAGATTTGGAGAGCCATTTATGGAAAAATGACGCAGGGGAAGAGTGGCGAAGTTTCTGCTCTCAAACAGACAGACTTTGATTTGTCGAAGGGCATATGTAACGTCCACAGCCACATACTGTGTACCTCTTTCCATCTTACCGTAGATACAGCGCCGCTCTATTTCCTCGCCTCTCATTCTGCTGCCCCAGCAGACAGGCTTTTGGAAAATGGGGACAAACAGGACATAACAGGTAAGTGGGTCACACTTTTTGTTGCTGTAGTGAAAGTACCTCTGTGACGTGTGAATACAAAAATAGAGCGTCAACACACAGAAAGGTCTCCTTGCGAAATGTATAAGCACCACTTACAGAACCTAATCTCATTACATGAAGGTGAGCTGTAGACTCCATCTTGGCTGCAATATATAAACTTACCAATTACTCAAAAAAAAAAATCAGATTAATCAGTAATAAAACAATTACTCGCAGTCGTCCACCAACCACTTTATACACAAAAAAATGATGCATACATTATTGATCTCCATCAACTAATTGCAATATATTTGATTTGCAACGTGTCCCACTGCAGCTGGTCAGTTATCGCCATGCTGAGACAGATGAAGGCAACCATCAGGAGGCACATATATCCACTATTTCTTGGCAGGCACAGAGTAGCAATTTCATGAACGCATTAGAGAAAAAATACCTACACACTGCTGTATCGTTCCCGATTCTTTAGTTATTCCAACATATTTTGTATGTTACAGTAGGTTGCGTAATCACTTTAATATACCTTACTGTTTTTCTTACCTAAGTGCAAAGAGAGCAAATCCAAGGAGACAGATCCAGATTCTTCTGATGGCTATAACTACAAACAATAATGCTAAAGACATATACTTAATACTGTATGTCCATAAAGTAGATCTCACGGGCTGAAAACATGTGCCATTAATCTATGTCTTAGTGCAGGGGTGTCAATCTCATTTTCACTCTGGGCGACATCAGCATCATGGTTTCCCTCAAAGGGCCGGTTGTAACTGTAAGACTGTATGAATGTAACCACGTGTCTCTGCATTTGATTATCGTTTATTCAAGTGTAACAATATTGTACATGCACTTAAATAAATGTAATTTATATGTCAAATGTAGGGTAACCTGCCAAAGAGCTGCTTCTATGTTTAAGTAGCTCATAATTTCGACTTTCTATCTCATAATTTCGACTATGGGGATATTTATATTAGCAAGTTTGCTGGTTCTGAAATGTGAAAATGTGCATATTTTCTCTGGTTTATATCATTTTAGACTAAAAACTACAGTTTTCTTTGTTGGTCAGACAAAAGGCAATTTGAAGACGGCATGCACCATGGACTCTGGGAACTGGTGATGGCATTTTTCATAGTTTTTTACAGACTGATCAATAATGAAAACAACCATCATTTGCAAACCTAGTTCCAATAAACATCCCACTACATTTTAGGCTTTAAGCAGAAGTTCTTCCTAAAAGAAGTACAGTGTGCAAAATAAGAATGAAGCTCGAATCTTACTGTAAGTGGCAAAGCAATAACCAGAGCAACGCATTTCAAAAACTAAAAACAAAATAAATCACACATATCACCAACATCAGGTGTTGTTGCGTCATGTACAGAAAAGAAATGTCAACGACATTTGATTTGTGTCAGAGTTGCAAGCTCCAATAAAGGACAGTAGTCCTTTTCATATCCAACAGCTTGCTCCATCCGCTCTGGGCTCTGAACGGTCCAGTAATTCAAGGGTGTCCGTTATCTCTAGATTTTTCCCCTTTTTGTCTCGGTTTCAATCTGTCTCAGCGTGAGCCAGTTGATCACTGCCGCCTCAGGCCTGCACAAGATGGAGCGATAAGAAGAAAATGAGATTGTCTGTTGTTCCAGTAGACACTAACATGCAGCTGTTACCTCCCCTGCATCCACGAGTGACGCACATAGAACATAATTCAATCTGTGCACGACTGAACTACTCTCATTTACAGTACCCCACTTAAACATCTTCATATTAAACATCCAGTCAACTGATTACCTGGTTTCCAACGACAACATGCTGAAATACAGGTGGAACCTGTAAGCATTTCATTGTTGTGAGTAAGAGAATATTTCTAGAGTGCTGCTGTCTGAGATGAAACCAGTTAATATGCAACCAGGGAAACAGGACACAAGGGTGGAGGAATAACAAGAAAACCTTCGCCCACCATGCAGGTTTCTGCATCATCGGACAAAGAGGGAAGAATATACTGCCTGAAGCAAAATTGGAATAAAATGTCAACTGAACAGGAGGTCAAAATCACAATAGTAACACTATATATATTTTGTTAAGGTGAATTCTGTTCTATCTGATATTTTATACTGGTTCACTTCTCTGGATCGTCTACATTCCCCATTGAAATACAAGAATTTTCAGAATGCATATATAATGGATATAATATTGTTAATGTCACATCTATAACTGACCCTTTATTTTGAGCTTTAAAGCCCCGCTTAAACAAATCAACTTTCTGTGGAGATGTACAACAGAAAACAAAACAAAAAAGCACATATGAGTATGTTGCCAGCTAAAATAAAAGCATGTCCTCAACTGGCAGCTTGCTGTATATGAGTCTGAGGAAACCCAGTAAGAATATGGCTACAGATTTGTGTGTGGGAGTGCGCTGCGTACTGTGTAATACATTCACAGACACACAGCATCGGAGGTTCAGGATGAAAACAAAGATGGAGTCACAGCTGCTGCTGGTTGATCCGGCATACGATTTGGGCAGAGCTGCTGCTGCTTCTCTCAGCCAGGCTAATAATATCCTGCTAACGCTGAAGACTGGGAACACGAGGTGAGAGCACCTCACTGCCCAAGTACATCACCGAGGTTTGCAGCTGCTAAAAAAAGAAAGACTTCTCCCCAGATAGAAAACAGGGTCATGGGTTTTTGAATATGCACAGCAGAAATACTCCCACATACTTGATAGAGCCTATAAAAAGACTGCAATGATATTAGTCATGTATTTTTACACCAGGCTTCTTTAGGTTTGGTCAGACGTATATTTGAGGTTGGTTTTAGATGAATGAAAGACATTTAAAACTATCAGCAGACAGCTGAAGAGGTGGAAATGCAGAGGTTTCCAGAAACGCATACTTTATTGCCAAGTTGGTTGGGTGGCTACATGCCGTGTCATCATTTTAGTGAGCAGGAAATGAACAGCAGATTATTATTATTTTATCATTCTTAAAATAAATGAAACTCAAGTTTGGATCAAATAGTGTCAGTGAGTGAACTGTGTTGAGCTCACCGTCTGTCACTTTCATATAGAATCATTCTAACAAGGCTTTAGGAGCTGAAATGGAAGTTCAGATTCTACAAAGCTCCTGTTTTTTAATTTGGTCTTAAAGTGATGATGATTTGCATAATTCTAGAAATTCTGAAATATTGTTTTATTAATTTTACCTCCATTTAAGATTTTAAGAAAAATTATTCATCATATTTAATTCATATTTATATGTTACAGTGAGGCTCACTGGTGTGTTTTAATGGAGCTCTGTGGCTTATAATTAAGTCTACCTGCTGTATGTAGCTCTGCAGGCCAGTTTAACATACCTGCAGATGTTCAACTACAGTGATGTGTGAGCGTGTGTCTGTGCCTGTGTGTGTGTGTGTGTGTGTGTGTGTGTGTGTGTGTGTGTGTGTGTTAGGGTCTAAGGGAGTGCATAGCCTGTCAGCACTTGGGTCTCCCATAGCGCACCCACCCAGCTTTCTGGTCACCGCTCGTTTATCACTTTCGTCTCTTGCGCTTTGCCCGTCTGTCCATTTGATCCTGTGCTAGATGGGCTGTCAGCACCAGCCCGCTTCCATCCATGGTTCATTTCTGTATGTATTCACTCTCCTCCCCTTTTGTGTCCCTTCTCTGCTATATCCAAAAACTCCACATTCAGCCACTATCTTATTCACAGCTTACTTATCCTGCACTTTCTTCTCCCCCCCCCCCCTTTCCATTTCACTCACTGACCATAACTTTCTCTGATTTCTGTTTACATTGCAGGAAAAGCCCGCTTTCTACAGTACATTTGCCAACACCCATCTGAGGCGTTCTGGCAGGGCTGCCCTCAGAGGCATTAGGCCACATTGAGTGAGAAACCAAGTCAGAAGGAA